CTCAAAATGGACCTATTAAGACGGGAATTTACACTTCTTGGCTTATTGTATTTGCTGCGCTTTCTCGCAAAGTATGCTTTCTCGGTCTGACGATGTTTGTCACATGACGAATGAAAGTTTAGCACTGGTTCATCGAGGTTGCAAGACGATGAGCCGAGGACTTGTTGGCGCCACACAACAGTCTTCAGTCCTTCGGTTTTCAGTGAGACATATTCATAAATCCCTTCTAACCAACATTTCCTTCGAAATGATAGTTTATATCACGATACATTAAGAAGGATTTCTTTGAAACTCAGTTTTTCTTCATTTCTAGCTCAAAATGGACGATATTTATGCCTGAAAAACCAGTCATAAACACGCCTGAAAACTCATTAGTCTCATGCAATATCCGACAATTAGTCTTTTCCTCTTGCAATGCGTGCATTAGTCAAAACGAGTTTGTAGAGCATTTGCCTTCCTTCACTATTCCTTACGTTGCATCCTAGTTTTGTGCATTATACTTCTTCTTTTATTACGCCAGAAAATGAAGTTAATCTGTCCTTTTCCATTCCCTTTTAGCTGCATTCCCATTTTTCTTCAATTCAATGGGGACATGTTCTGTGGCCTGGCGCAAATTCCTCCTGAGCTGAGTGTCGACAATGCATCCTCTCAGGATTCTGTGCCCAGTTCAAAACTTTTCGGCCCTCTTCGAATAGATTTCGCCTCCTCCTCATACATTCGCAAAGCGATTCCTCCCCGCTGCACAAACCTCAGTGACATTCGCCAAATATTTACCGAGAAATTGGTAAGCACGACGTACTATTTTTCCAGTTAGTGCTGTTGTCGGCCCCAAAGTGAAGTCCCCTCTTTCTTGGCATAATCCTACTTTGTTTTAAAAGAACTAGTTGATGCTTAAGGCTTTTTTTAGCGTAGGTATAGTTTAGCGACAAGCCCCCTTCACTGATTTGTGGCTTTTAGTGAAAATAAGTTATAACTACTCCCAGAAGGCTTTTTAATTTACATGTTCGTCATAAGTAGGCTATCGGTAATTCTTAAAACAGAACTTTGTCGCTCCAGGTCGTTCCAGGTGATTTAAGGACTGATAATTGAGTTTTCCCACAGCAAGAAGAATACGCCTAGTACCCTTAGCGACCTAGGATGACAAAGTGGGCTGCTCTTGTTTTCGCAACTTGGTCGTGTTGTCAGGGCGACCAAGTTAGACACACCTTGTCCGAAGTCTTCTGCTATATTAGTTATCCTATTTCCCAGAAGTGGACCGTGAACTTGGTACATTCTCAGACGTATCGTCGACATCGTAGTCGACATGCCGACGAAACGTCTGGGAATATACCAAATCCACTACTATAGTAGAGGACTTCGGACAAGATGCGTCCAATTATTTCGCCCTGACAACACGATCAAGTTGTGAAAACAAAGTCAGACTCTTTCCATGCATCGAAAGGAGACTGTGACCAAAATAGAAGCCACAACATTTTGGTCTTCATAGCTATGAGGGCAAGCTTCTTCTTCAACAATTACCGATAGGCTCAAAAATTATTTATGCCGAAAATAAGTGAAGTTGTCGATTGCATTGTCAACTTCATGTTTGCTTAATCGACAATCCCATTATAACTATGCTTTGAATGAAGCCTTGCTTGCCTCGAATCTCACATTTGTTCTGTGACCCAATGGAACCTGTGGTTGTGTAGTTGTATGATAAAGTGGCCAGGATACTCACGACCTGGTTTCGAATCCGTTTGCAAGTGCAGTCGTTACTGCACTCCGGTCTGGATGATATGGCATTTTGGGAGGCAAGGTCAAGTGAAATTCAGTGGCAACCTGAGGCGTAGTCATCTTAGTGTTTTTAAGTTGTCTGAACCGATCTATGGTGGAAGATCTTTTACATTTTCGTTTGTTGTTGTGTCATCATCTCGTGTGATAGCATTGTTAGGAGGACCTTTATTTCGAATGAAAGTACATGAAGAAGAGATTCGTTTTTCGATCTCACCAGATGAGGACGGATCAAAATCGTTGTACTGCAGCCGTTCAGCTTGTATATTATATTCATGTTGACGCAGTCCACGAGTATTCCTCCCTCGTTTCGGGTGAAAACGTGCT